TAGGATGACAGAATATGCCTCAAGGGCTAAAAACACCTTAATAATATATATTACCCCTCCAACCAACTCCTGGGTTAAGATTTTTAAATACACTTCAATGTGCAAAGGAATAAAATACTAATGGTAGGATTGCAAGCACTGTGGAAGATGAACATGAATCCCATTAAGTAGGGGGCATTATTCCCTCCTCTAAGGCAGTCCTAGATACAAACCAATAGAAAGTCATTTATGCTTACAGCATATATATATAACATCCTTGATCTGTTTTCACTTACAGGACTGATTAGTGAATCTGGACATTTCTCTTCTTCAACTACAAATGGGTTGATTTTTAAAACAATACTTACTCTATTTGACCAGGAAAGCAGCACGTAAGGATTGTTAAAACATGAAGTATTAATACTTCACAGATTAAAAAGATCACCTATAATATCAGCACTTACATATAGCCAAGGTATTTCTGTACTGGCTCTTAATTTGCATGAGTTATGCTTTACATACTTTCAAACACTCAGTAGTCCCATTTCATTAACTATTTTTCAAAAATCTGACTTCTAATGGCTATATATTTCTTTTATAGATACCCATAACTTACTTTACAATTCACCTATTATATATTTATAATATTTTGTTTTCTCTGTTTCCCTCAAACATTCACTATGTATCTCTCACTATTTCTTAGAATAAATTCCTGAGAGTAAAATACCCCCATCAAAACATGTGAACCTTGTGTGCTGATGTTTTCTAAAGTCAAAGTTTAGTTTCACGTGCCCACTATCCCTCTAAAAAAAATCTGTAAGACATCAAAAAGTAAAATAAAATGAACAAAAAAAAGCAAAATACCAACCAACCAACACATTCAGCCCTAATAAAATATATTGCTATACACATCTAAAATATCTGCCTCACTGGGCATTCCAGATTTGCAAAACCTCACATATTTGCAAAATTTGTGGTCGTGAAAGTGGGAATATGGTCTTAACTCTAAGAAAAAAGGACACTGCATAAGGGAATCTCCATGACACACTCCAAATGAAGCACTCAGTGTGTATTTAACACTTTTTATGTGGACATTTGGACATAAGGGCGTGAAAAAAAAATGTTGGATTTAGAAAAAACAGCCAACCAACAACAACAAAAAAATGTGTACTGTTTTGTGCAGCACAATATGCTAGAGAAGAAGAGAAGGAAAGGGACAAGAAGAGATGGATTAGATCGGATCTTTTAAAACCTAATATCATGGTACAATCATCATCACACTGTACTCCTTCATCAAATTGGCCCTAAATATCTAGTTTTTGTTTCTTCACAGTCTTCTATCAAAATTCTTTCCTCTTCTCCTGAAAAAAAGTTTCTACTCTACCAACATAGTATTTTGCATTTTTTATCTTAAATATTCGGCAGTTGAAATTGCATTGCTGTAATTATAACTAATAGACCTTCCATTTCCCATGTCATAATTAATGTTAGGCTTTATTAGAGCACAGTCATGCTACCTTTTCCCTTACAAAGCTTCCTTTATTTACACAACATTGATGGGGTATTGAATCAAGCAATAAAGAGTTCTAATGGCCTTTTGTAAGAATAGCCTTTGGATCATAGATGCTGAGTTAACTGACTTAGAAAATGCTTTTTACAGCAGGGTGTAGAGGCTCATGCCTGTAATCCCCGCACTTTGGGAGGCTGGGGTAGGCGGATCACTTGAGGTCAGGAGTTTGAGACCAGCCTAGCCAACATGGTGAACCCCCTTCTCTAATTTACAAAAATCAGCCAGGCCTGGTGGCGCATGCCTGTAGTCCCAGCTACTCAGGAGGCTGAAGCAGGTTAATTGCTTGAACCTGGGAGGGGAGGTTGTAGTGAGCCAAGATCACACCACTGCACTCCAGCCTGGGTAACGGAGTGAAGCTCTGTCTCAAAATAAAATACAAATAAAAATAAGGAAATACTTTTTTACACTGTTTTTAAACCACACATAAAATACTTCCTAATGTGATATTTGTTCAACACCACTAGGTGAGAAAAGAAATCTCTCAGTGATAAATACATTAGATTTCCTCAAAGGTTATTAAGTGTACTTTAGGCAGGGACGGAAAAAAAACTGACAATCAAACAAAATATCTACAGATCATACTTGTTGATTGCAATGTGTCACATATACAAATGACTCAACTGCAGCAATTTTGTGGCCAGTAAAATATATTTGGATACCCACAGATTAATTTTTCATAGGCCCTGGTTATGAGGTTACTATATTTATTTTAAATCCTATTGGAAAGTTGTAATTTTAGCATTTGACTGTTCGAGCAACACAGAACTGTATTTTATTGGCAATATTGAAATTAGAACTCAAAGGTGATACAACTTTGGCAATTTTAAATATAATTTAAAGAGGACAATACAATATAAAATTAACAGCTTCTCAGGTAAGTATTTTACAAGTAATCTGCAAGACATATGGCATACTAACAGAAGAGGTGCCATGCATACCTTCAAAAAAGGATGCTAGATTATGTTTTTAAGGTTATTCATGACTCAATCTGTGCTTTTGAGGGTCAGTGACTAGTGCTGAAGTTCATATTATATATGAATGCAATTAGCTCTGACAGTACAAATTCCTATATTTTGCCCTCATTAGAATCTTTAAATGCCTTTTCCATTATGTTCACATCTTCTTAAGAAAAGTTATACATTCTCAATACCACACTAGATATAACTGTATATATGATATAAATATGAGAAGATACAAATGGAGCAATCACAGATCAAGAAAACAGTTTCAGTGTTGCTCTTTTTGGTATCATACATATAATAATATTTCTAGGCTGGGGATGGTGGCTCACACCTGTAATCCTAGCACTGTGGGAGGCAGATGTGGGCTGATCACCTGAGGTCAGGAGTTCGAGACCAGCCTGGCCAACATGGTGAAACCCTGTCTCTACTAAAAATATAAAAACCAGCTGGGCAGGGTGGCATGCACCTGTAATCTCAGTTACTCGGGAGGCTGAGGCAGGAGAATCACTTGGACCTGGGAGGCAGAGCTTGCAGTTAGCTGAGAATGTACCACTGCACTACAGCCTGGGAGTGTTTGTTTGTTTTGAGATACAGGGAGACTCAAAACAAACAAACAAAAATGATTTTTAGAGCACAAAAAGAAACTTTTTTAGTGCCATGATTATTTGAGCTAATTTGTAGATTTCCATGTAAGGTTTCTTGAAATCATGATGAATTTAAGAAACTATAACAAATTACATTATCAATTAACAGGATTTGAAATTTATGAAGAGAAAGGTATACTATTTATAGTAGAGCCCACTGTATTGCTCTTGCTATTGTATCTGAATACCAGTGTACAAAAGGTTCTACACTGAAACCACAATGAGAATTTCAAGATGGTCCCCAAATTGTAGTCCCTGGGGCAAAAATTTAAATAAAGACCCTTATACAATCTCTTAAAATTTCTTAAATCATAAATCAACCAAGCAAACTGATAAATAAGGTGTCTGCTCCTCATCTTTGCAACTATCCCAAAACAAACTCATAGCTATGTTAAATTTAGTAGTTGAGGAAATCTCCAAATTTAGCCTGGTAGAGTATGATGGTATGGAGAGAGCCAGTGCCCAGTCTTCAGATCCTAGCCCACCCTACTTTTTGTTTCTCTTCCTATCCTTGATCTCAATATCGTGCCATACTGTGAGAGGCTCCTAGGGCTATCTATAGGAGCAATGTGCTCTGCCTTCAGAAAACAGGGCCTGGGATGAATTCGCTCAGGTCCTGGAAGGCCAGTGGGCAAAGAATTCATAGATCTTGGGGAGCTGGCACACTTTTTAGAAGTTGAAGCATGCCTCAAGGTGGCCAATTTCCTTAGTCCTTTGAACCTACTGGCCAGTGCAGAAGGGTACACAAAGGATGACCAGAGGGAGACTTCTAAGTCATAGGCTCTCTTTTGCAGAGCCTTAAGGGAAGTTCATTATGAAGCAGGTAATCTTATATGCAAATTGATAACTCCAGATGTGGAGATAGTTTTTACTCCAGTAGACTGATAGAACTCACAGAGGAAGCAACAGTTCCTTCACAAAGAATGCCCAAACTTTATATCCAGACAAAAGGAAATGATATTGTTCTCAAATATTTCCATATCCACAACCAACTATTGACCACTGATACAATAACGCTAATAATATTCTACTGCCTCAGGAGGCTTAGGCAGGAGAATCACTGCCTGCCTCAGTGATTATAAGGTACATGGTAACCTTATAAACATTAGCTTTTATTTCATAGATTTTTTCAAAATACCTGAGATGTGTTAAAAACAGATGTCCTGATTTGGCAGACTATAGAAGGAAAAACTCAACAGAGTTAAGTAATTCTTCTAAAATCTCAAGGTTCAAATACTGGCAAAGTTGGCGATATTATTTGGAAAAGATTTCAAACCCTCTCTCCTTTCAGGAAACCCCTCTCTCCCCCTCGATATGCTGCTCTGTACTACTTTCTAGCTCACAGAGACAAAGCTAAGCTCTATGAATAATCTGTGTTGTTCCCATCAATATATAAGAATTCTTACTTACAAACAGAGTCTTTGCCACCAATAATTTTTTTAATGTTATAAGCAATATATGACCCATGTCAGAAGAATATTACTTTTGGTAAACATTGCTATTAAGTAGCACTGCAGTAGCAAAATAGAAAAATTTAAAAAAAGCACTGAATTAAGAAAAAAAACTGCAGTATCCCTCTCGAGCTGAGAGTGTGCATAATTCTGTAAAGTGTACTTTTCTTTAAACTGCTTTTGTTTTCAGACACTATCTCAACCTCACGTCATGTCAAAATGACTTGAAATCCAATTCTTTACACGTAGATGACGTTTCAGTGAAGGGACAAAATCTGAAAGATCTCATTAAAAAAATGGTCAAGAGCTACCCAGTCTGCTATCAACACTAACCAATGTGACAAGGGAGGTGAAAAGGTGCCTTGAATGTAATTTGAGCAGAGCACAGGCCTACCTGAGTCATATGCAAAATCTCTGGGTTCCTGTTTAATCATCAGAGGAGGGGGAAAGCTTTGGCTGGCCGCACTGCCAACCATGGTGCTGTGTTCATACACTGGGTCGTGGTACTCCTGCTTAAAGCCTTGTGGTGGGAAAGGGATGTTTGGCTCAGACATCTGGCGTTGGTACATAGGACGTCCTTCCCTGGGCATTGTCGGCAAAGGAGGAAAGGAATTACAGGGTTCAGAAAGCTGGCGGCGAAATCTAGGGAGTAAAAGAGTGTGTTTCAGATGAAATGGTAACATGGAACATTCTTTAAAATACTAATACGGTTTTTCATGTCTTAGTGAATGAACATGATACCAGCCGACCTGAAGTGGAAATCTTTAACAAACATTACATTTTTCTTTCCTAGATTAGAGGCTCTATGCTTTTTAATCATATGACTTGTATTCCCCTTCTAATCAGTCTCTTGCGGCACTGTTGCACTATATGAATTAAAGATGGACTTTGAGTACAGATTGGAGAGCAATGAGCAACTCTGAGGATCACACACACACATCCCTTAATGGCTAAAATGTCCAGATCTAAATCAATTGGATCACTTATGATTTCCACACAAAAAGGGCCTTAAGTGATTATCTACAAGGAAAAAAAAGGCGGGGGGAAACAGTCTGATCTCAAACTGCATCTTCTATCTTTTAAATCTGTTACCAAACTAATCAATAAGCAAAAAAAAAAAAAAACAAAAATCAATTTATTGGTTTTCCTTCCATTGCCATCCATTGCTGAGGAAGCAAGAGAAGAATGACTCTTTTCTCAAATCAGCAGGACTTTTAATTCCTCAACAATGTCCTAATTAACATTGTAAGAAACAAACTGAGTATTATAAGGACTCAAAACCAAGCTGGTTTTAAAAAAATTACCTCTTTACTGTCAAACAGCAATGCAGACCATATTGGCTTCCTATAGATTCAAATACAGTATCAGGTTGATAAAAACAAGCAAAAATATACAACTGATCTCCAAAGGTGAAAATAACAGATAGTGTTGTATAGATTTGGGGCAAGTCCCACTGTTAGGACATGAGGAAGTTCTGAGGCCTTGGCAGACAGCTAGGATTACGTCCTATACCTTCTTTGTTCTTGGTTCTACTTTGTAATGATTGGCTAATCACATAATCATTCTGTTCTGTGTCTCTCATCCATAATATCATTGACCCACCACAAAGATGTGGATTAATTAAAGATTTAAAAGTGCTCTAAAAATGCCCCAAGAGTGCTTAAAAATAACCTATAAAACATTTCTATGAGCAAATATAAGCCTATTAACCACCCCCCCAACTAAAAGCATTCCTGAGACTTTAATTTGGAAAGTTAGCATTTAATTTCGGTAATGTTAAATGAAAATAAGGTAAAAGCTAAAGAATGGCACAGCGATTGCTTTAGCATTTCTAAGAACACTCCATCCTGTGATTTAACTCTAGGCTCACTGGTGGTGAGGGAAAGCACTGAAATTCCACCTACACCTGCAGAAAATAAACTTAGAAACTCGGATATTGCAAAGCAGTTAGGCTGAATGGCACTGCATTCATTTCCCTTCTCTTGCTTATTTCATTAGCCAAAAAAAGAAACAGAAATTATCATTAAGGACTGTCAAGGAGTGAATCAGAAAATTGTAACTTGAAGTTAAAATAAGAAACTGGCTCACTTGTAAAGCCTTAAAAGGAAGTTAATAATACTTGTAACTGAAAGCTTTGTAAGGAATCAAGCCGTTCGTTTTTACCAGTCGACCTGATCCCAGTTGGAAGTTGCTGGGGAACATATATGTATCAAACACCCATGCTTCCCGAAAACTTGCAAGGTTTTGGTGCAATTCTTAGGAGTCACTGACCAATGGTGAAGAGAATGTGATTCAAGAAGCTTCTGCAAAGGAGTTAACAGATAAGGAGAACATGCTGATGAACTCGTCGATAAAGAAAAAATGGGGCTTAAGTGGTGGAAACTCTGAGAAAGAGAGACAGGACTCCTGCACAGTGGGTTAAGGAAAAGGTGCCAAAGGGCTGGCCCGAGGAGCAGAGCGAGGCTGAGGAAAGGAAGCAGGGTGCAGGCCAGTTGGCTGTCAAGCGTTCCCAGAGTGAAGTGGGGTGCCTGGCTGGAGGGGGTGTTCTGGGGAAAGGATCTGTTCCCAGAGCAAATTTGCCATTTATAACTGAGGGACTGTCATTTATTGGCCAGAGCCCTCTAAGAAATCCTCCTCAGAAACATACGGCTTTAGAGATTTTCCTGGGACTGGCCAGCTGGTACTGTCCTCAAAACTCAGTCAGGGGTCAGTGGGAAAAGACCCTGAGCTTCCCTCTTGGAGTTCCGGGCCGGCTGTTCTCAGTCTCAAATATTTGACTTCAAGTAGAGAAACTAAAATGGATTTGGCTAAAAAGCATTTCAAGTTAGGTCACCTAAAACCAGGCACATTGCTTATTCAGCAGTCACCTTCACCAAGAAATAACTAGTTTGCACCAAAAGCGAATTATACAATCTATAATTCTGGCACTGATCAGAAGAGGGAGCTTCAATTATCAAGAACTCCAAGAAGTCGCCAGTAGTGGAGAAAATAAAACTTTGTTTGTTCATACTTTCCTTCCCTTTTAGCTCTGCACAATGTGCATCTGTTTAATGGCCCACCCTGCAATAAGAATTCTTTCATCTGTATTTACAAAACTGTTTACACAGATGCACATACCATTGCCCTCTGACAAAGACTCAAGGCTATGGGGTGAGAAGAAAAAGATAATAGGAAGCATTTAATAACCACCCCACAAGAGGATTTAGTGATGAAAACAAGGGTGGAAAAGATAAGGCTTTGTGTCACATTGTAAAGAATGCTTTCATCTTATGCCCTTTATTGCAAAATGAGTTCCTGAATTAGAGATTGAGTCCCATGAAAAAAACTATAAAAAGCAGATTTGAGTGCTCCCTTATATTTAGAAGGTTGCCAGTGGCACATCTTCTGCTTTCCTCTGCTGATCTAGAAGATTTCTTTGGCTGAGTTATTTTTACAGTGGTGTCTCAGAGACAGTTTGCATTGACCTATTGTTAAATTACAGGAAATTTTTGAGCCATTTCTTAAACAGTGTCACTATTAAGAGTCAAATTACATAACTGCACCATCAAAATATATGTTAAAAACAAAAGATAAAAATGCAAAACTCATCACTTCCTAATTATTTTACATTTCTTTACCAATTATGCACCTGAGGTTACTTATGTCTCCCGTATCCTTATGATAGAAATACTATACTATGCTGTGCTATTGCTCTTTCCAACTAGGCATTCAGGTTTGTCACAGTGATGGCTCATAGTAGGTCATGAAAGCGATATGTACATCACATACCCAGCAAAAGCTACAGATGGGGTGTTTTGTTTTTCTCCCATGCAGCCCATTAAACATTTACCAGCACACCACTGCACAGAGAAGCCCAAGCAGAAGAGATAAAGAAGGAGAGATGCTGGCTGGGCGCAGTGGCGCAACCCTGTAATCCCAGCACTTTGGGTGGCTGAGGCGGGCGGATAACTAGGTCAAGAGATCAAGACCATCCTGGCCAACATGGTGAAAGCCTGTCTCTACTAAAAATACAAAAATTAGCTGGGTGTGGTGGCGTGTGCCTGTAGTCCCAGCTACTCGGGAGGCTGAAGCAGGAGAATTGCTTGAACCCAGGAGACGGAGGTTGCAGTGGGCCAAGACTGTGCCACTGCACTCCAGCCTGGCGCCTGGCGCCAAAGTGAGACTCTGTCTCAAAAAAGAAAAAAAAAAAAGAAGAAGGAAAAATGCTGTATATAAGCAACCTGGATTTTAAGCTGTATTTTAAGCTTCTCAGAACGTCTAAACGTTTTATTTAATATTTTATTTAAATATGAATTTCTTAATCTCTAGAAGTCAATAATTACCCAACACAGTATTCTCCCTAGACCTATGCTGTGTTTCTTGCCTTGCTCCTTTTTAAGTAATACTAATTCAGTCCTATCTCTTTAATTGCATATTCTCAGTGTCCAGAGTCAAGTCTCTACTGACGTTAAATATTCATTACTTGGAAAGGATGGTAAACAGTTTTAATCAAGTAAGTTCTATTCTGCAAAACTATGTATAGCTGAACCATTCAATATAAGGTAAAAAACCTAATTCCATAAGCTACCTACTAAAATTAGTCTCCTAACTTTATAGAACAAGTACACACATATGCTCATAAAAATGGGATGATCTGATTTAAAGTTTAAGTGAAGCAATTTAATTCAAGCAAAGCGAAAGGGAAACGTTCAAATGTCAGTAGATTAATTTTCCATTTTAGCAACCAATTTAAATGTTTATAAAAGGAATGTTTATAAATGACTTTCTCCACAAATGATAAGTATAGATAGAGTGAGCTCTTTCTAAAAATAGTTTGCACAGATGTGTAAAATTAATAGGCTCACCTTAAATCTACTCTAGGTCTTCAGAATTATTGATAGAAATTTCTTACAAGAATGCAAAAACCAGTTTCTAGAAAACTGGTATCTGCAGGTTACCTGTGGTCCATGGGGTAGCTGCTATCTGGTATGGACTGCGATGGAGGGAGGTGAGCTGGGAAGGCCCGGTCAGGTTTCGGCGTATGAGTTGAGTTTGGAGATGCATGATGCAGTGGAGACACTGGCGTGCTGGATGGTGTGGGGGGATTGGAGGGCCTCATTCCCACTTGTGGCTTCTGATCATAGGCACTACCCAGGGGACAAAAGAAAAGAGAACATTTCTTTCTTTGGAGCAATTTTCTTAAAAAAAGTTCCTAATCCAAAGGAAGAAAAGATATTTTAGACTTAAGTCAAATGGAAATGAAAACTTTGTTGTTGCTGTTGTTTCTTTTAATTCCAGAAAAGATAAACTTCAAAATTACAACACCCTTAAACAGAAAATAGGATAATTAATGCAAAACCTTTTAACAGAGCAAATATAAAACGTGTATTTTCAATGCATATACAAACAACTTAGTATAAGTAAAATTACTGTCCAAAAAAGCAGTGGTATTTTTTTCTATCTGTTCTTGATATACCTATTTGATAAAGTTTGATAGATTTTTCCTAAATCATTAAATAGTTCTGATATTATAATACTTTTATATTATGTAAGATTTTAAAATGAACTAGCATCAGCTTAATAAGATAGAGGCTACATCTGGCTTGCCTTTATTTGTGGTGGGATTTTAAGAAGGCAATGCTTTTACTTTATTTTCATATTATTATATTAAATAAGTGATTCTTGGCATTAACTTCCTCACATGAGATAATGAAGATTAATGAGGTAAATTAAAATGTCTCCCATATATTTAAACTTTCTTGGAGAATGACTACAAAATAATGTTATTAGGAATAAAATACTATTATAGTCTAACACTCACAATTACCAAAGAATACAATGAGTAAGCTTGATCTCATATCATGAATTTAAACTGCTTTCCTATGTGTAGCTTTCAGGAATGTGATTTAACTAATTTTTGTCATCTATAAAATATTTTTCTGAAAATAAATTTTCTTAAATGTTTTAACAACAGAACATTTCTAAGTTAGAATGCTGTATTTCATTTTAAAATAAAAAGCATTTGCTGGGCGCAGTGGCTCATGCCCATGATCCCAGCACTTTGGGAGGCTGAGATGGGAGGATCGCTTAAGCACAGTAGTTTAAGACCAGCCTGAGCAACAATGGTGAAACCCCCATGTCTCCTAAAAGTATAAAAAATTAGATGGGCATGGTAGTGCATGTCTGTAGGCCCAGATATTCAGGAGGCTGAGGTGTGAGGATCTCGTGAACCTGGGAGGCAGAGGTTGCAGTGAGCCAAGATCTTACCACTGTACTCCAGCCTGGGTGACAGAGTGAGACCCTGTCACCAAAAAAATAAATAAATAAAATAAAAAGCAAGGATCAGTATACTTTTTTTAAGAAAGAAATATTTCTTTTTGAATTAAATTATGAAATAATTTATTCTGTGGCTCCATCAATGCAACAGAATTATATCCAGCTGCAAAAAATATTTTACAAGTAGTAAAGGAATATATGCTGCACAAGGTTGCTTTTGCTTTAAAGCAAAGTCAGCAGCGTTCATATAATGAAGTTCATGTTTGGTTTCACCTATGTTCTTCACCAGTATTTCTGGATAAAACCTCACTTTTTCCACGAAATGGTTCACCTAACTCACTCTCATGAATGAAGAAAAAAATGATACTATTCCCCTATGAAATGCTATACTCAATAACATTTTCTGTGTAGAGATGGAAGTACCAGAATTTATTGCATATACTATATAACACTGTGGGGATGATTCATCCACCAAAAGAAACTCAAAATATTCAGGCAATTCCTGTATTATGTATTTATGGATGTCAGATATGGCATATAAAACAGTGATGATTTCACGGTCACAATTCTGATTAATGCTGAAATGCAATGACAATTCCATATCTAACTGTCATTGACTAGAAATTCTTTCATATGTTAAATAAGAATGCTGTGGATACACAGTACTTCTAAGGAGAAAAAGTAAAAATGACACTAAAATAGAACTCAGATCAATCAATACTGTCTTATCTGAACTCAGTACGCTTTAATAGTTAGCTTCTACAAGAGACTTTTTTTTTTTTTTTTTTGGAGAAAGAGTCTTGCTCTGTTGCCAGGGGCCTGGCTAGAGTGCAGTGGCGTGATCTCCGCTCACTGCAGCTCCGCCCCCTGGGTTCAAGTCATTCTCCTGCCTCTCAGCCTCCCAAGTAGCTGGGACTACAGGCGTGTGCCCCCACGCCCAGCTAATTTTTGTATTTTTTAGTTGAGACTGGGTTTCACCATATTGGCCAGGATGGTCTCGATTTCCTGACCTCGTGATCTGCCCGCCTCGGCCTCCCAAAGTGCTGGGATTACAGGCGTGAGCCATCGCGCCCCGCCAAGAGACCTTTTAAAATAAAATCTTGTAGTTTCAATTGAGCTAGCTCATAATTTCAGGCTCTGGCAAACCTCTTAGAAAGCAAATATAAAATACAAGTTTGCAAGAACAAATGGTAATAAAATATCTGAGCATTGGTCAGCTGCCATAATGGCACAAGTCTAAGTTTCTAGAATCTTATATATCTTGCACATAAACAGTGTATGCAATAAATATCTGAGGAAATAGTTAGTAGAAGACCCCTTTGGATCATAATGTACTATGAGTCTGAAGTGATATAACATAAAACATACAAATATTTGGAATCATTTGTGTAAGTTTCCTAACTAACTCCTTTTAAGAACTAAGTTTCTACTGTAATTGAGAGTGATAATAGTCTAGAGACAGCCAACCTTTTCTTTATGCAATTAAAGGCCAATATGAAAAGTAGCAGCATGCAATTTACTTTTAAGGGTTTTTAATGAACATATATGTTACTAAATTTTCTAACAAATGAACAATGTACTATTACTGCACCACCCTTTATTATCATCAGAAGAACAACCAGCTTTTTAATAGCTAATAGCCTTTGCTAAGCCTTATAAAATTCCAGTTTTATTGCAATTGTCCATGAACTCATCTTATAGATCATCTGCAAAGCCTGACAGATAACTAATGTACTGCTTAGACCTGCCAAATGTTTCATTTTTTTCTACAAACACTCTATCTAAAGTGTATAATGCATTCATTCTAATGGGAACTTTCAAAAGCTGCTTGTGCCAAATAAGACCCCTTTTTCAAACCCAAGATGCATCACTATAGTAGAAAAGCAACTAATGATCTGGATGAAAACTATTGCTTTAAAATGAATCCAAAGTGTGTGACTGGATGGTAAATTGTTCTTTAGAATTCTGCTAAATGCATTGCCTAATTAGCTTGTTCCATATTAAAGGTGCAACTCATAAAATATGACTTGATATTTCATATTATTCTGGACTTTTTCTTTCAGTAAGAACCACTCTCCTATATACATAGACCTCGTGGCTTTACCTGACATTGTACAGGCACTTTTCTCCATAGCTGAATTTAAAGGGCTGTTCTTGACTGCAGGCAGATCCGATTTCTGAACATGGACTGTGGGGTTCTTTCTTGATTTTCAATGGTAGGCCATGAAAAGCCACTAGAAAAAAGAAAAAAATACCCACAAAAATTAAACGCTATTATGAATTATGAAGATTAATGTGTTCTACTTCTTTTGTTAAAAATGTCATTCACATTTCATATTAACATATATATAGAAGAAAAATCACATTTGATGATTTTTCAATAGCAGAATATTCCAAAGAATTTTCATATACTCCTTTTCTGCATTTATTGTGGAACAAAATGCATGCTTGAATTTTCTCTCATAACTGAAGTGAATCACTTGTCATTTGCTTAAGTGATATTAACAATGCTAGAAGCTCAGCTTCAAGAAAGTACATTTTGGAAACAACAACGGTTTCCAATGACTAAAACAGAAAGATTACAACTGATTAGTCAAGATTCAAATAAAGATCAAAATATAATTTTAAGCATTATTGAAAGGAAAATATATGAACTGCATCAATAATAATAGTTTAATGAAGTGGCAACTAGACTGTGACAAAGAAAATCCAGGAGCAGGTCCAGAAGCAACCGCTACTATTTTGGGCAAAAACTCAACATCTTTGAGGCCAGTTTTCATCTATAAAATGGAGATTAAGTATCAGCCTATCTAGTTACCAGAACTGCGAAGATTAAATCTGCGAAATATATAAACGTTGTCACATGTAATCCACCATAAAACAATTATTCTATATCAAATGATATTTTCACCTTTTTACAGTGACTTAATGCACGGTAATGCTTATATGCATTTATGTTTAATAACATACAAAGCTACATCATAAAATAGGAAAACTAGAAAAATATTTATATGGGGAGGGAATCACAGCTTTAAATCCAATAATTAAAAGACATGCTATATGCTGGGCGCGGTGGCTCACACCTATAATCCCAACACTTTGGGAGGCTGAAACAAGTGGATCACCTAAGGTCAGAACTTCAAGCCCTGTCTCTACAAAAATACAAAAATTAGCGGGGTATAATGTTGGGTGCTTATAATCCCAGGTACGTGGGAGGCTGAGGCAGGAGAATTGATTGAACCCAGGAGGCAGACGTTGCAGTGAGCTGAGATTATGCCATTACACTCCAGCCTGAGCGACAGAGTGAGACTCCGTCACAGAAAAAAAAAAACTATATATTTTTTATTCTTCCATACAAAACTGAATATAAATGCCTATTAGAAATCCAATTAGAATAATGAAATTTTTGGTATAAATGGAAAATTGGGTTAAAAAAGGAAAAAGCACTCATAAGAATAGGTTTTGTAATTTACATACAATAACAATAGGTATGAATAGTCCAGGGATAAACATAACAGAGACACACGTTCTGGAGATGTATTCTAACTTTTATACAAACTGAAATTAAAACACAGTATGTTAAATCTGCAAGGAAGATATGACAAGAGGAATTTTGTCATTTATGATGTCATTTGTCATTCAATCTTAATTACGTCATTACAGCATTATAAATTTGCATTAGCTTGAATGTTACATATAATTTTTCATATAAAAATTTGATACCACAAATTCTATAAAAAAGAAGAAAAAATACAATTCAGGATGAGATTTAGAATTCTATTTAAAAAAAGAAAAAAATTGATATCAGAAACTACCAAGCTTTGGGGAAACAAATATTATTTGTTTTAAATTTTGATACAAGTATTCAGTGGCACTCAAGAATCATCTGAAAAATGCTAGAAAACCAATTTGCCAAATTGGCAAATTTTACTTAAGTGATCTAAGAAACTTAATACATAATAATAAAATAATTACCCTGGGTATTCTATTTCAAAGTATTTTTTAATGTAAAGTGTGTGTGTGTACACACATGGTTAATATACCTATTTAAAGTAAAGAAAAAAGAAATAAAAACAAAAGGGAAATTTTGTATATCTCCATAGGTCAGGAATACTCATGTGCATTAACGTTACCAAGGCAGAAAGCTCTAATTCTTCTCGTAGAAAAGGCTTAAGAGCCTCAAGAGTCAATTATAAGAGGACTTGTTTGAATTCTGATTTGAACAAACAACTATAAAAGACAACTCTGGAACAAATAACTCATTTTAATATAGACTAGTATTAGATAATTTAATAAATCATTGTAAATTTTGTTGGATGTGATAATGGCACAGTAGTCATATTTAAAAAGTTTTAATATTAGAGGTTCATAAAATATGTACAAATAAAATATCCAGAATTTTCTTTAAAATACTCTATAAAAATCATTATGTATGAGGAAAGTGATAAATAAGATTAGAAAAATTTTGATAAATGATAAAAGCCAAATGAAGGGCAGGAGGGAGTTAACATTATTCTCTTTACATCTGTCTATGTGTCCTAAATTTCCTGGACAAAATTAGTTAAATGTGAAAAGAAAATCCACGATTTTAAAGTAGTGCTCTAGGTCCAGCATTGGTGGCTTCTACCGGTAATCTCAGCTCTTTGGGAGGCCAATGAGGGCGGATCACTTGAGGCCAAGAGTTCCAGACCAGCCTGGTCAACATGGTGAAACCCCATCTTCACTAAAAATACAAAAATTAGCCAGGCCTGATGGTGTCCACCTATAATTCCAGCTACTCAGGAGGCTAGGGCATGAGAATCACTGGAAACCATGAAGCAGTGGTTGACAAGATTGCACCACTGTACTCCAGTCTGGGTGACAAACCAAGACTCTGTCTCAAATAAATCAATAAAGTGGTACTCTATAAGAAAATTGTTGCTGGGCGTGGTGGCTCCCACCTGTAATCTCAGCACTTTGGGAGGCTGAGGCAGACTGATTGCTTGAGGCCGGGAGTTCAAAATCAGCCTGGCCAACATGGCAAAACCCCGTCCCTACTAAAAATACAAAACTTAGCCAGGTGTGGTGGAGGGTGCCTGTAATCCCAGCTACTCAGGAGGCTAACAGGAGAACCACTTGAACCCGGGAGGCAAAGGTTACAGTGAGCCTAGATTGTACTATTGTACTCCAGCCTGGGCTAGGGAGCAAGACTCTGCCTCAAAAAAAAAAAGAAAGAAAATTGTCTCCCTGTGTATATCTGCATGTTGTATGTGTGTACATGACATCTTAGAATAATAATTACTAAATGACACACCATTGTAATACATTAACCATCCATTTCTTTTTTTTTAAACAAATGGTTTTTAATTATTCATTACATCTTTGAACATATTTAGCAAAATGTGTATAACCAAGTTTTGGTTTTTTCTTTTTAACTTTCATTTTAGGTTCAGGGGTACATGTGCAGATTTGTTATATAGGTAAACTCGTGTCATGGAGGTTTGTTGTACCAATTATTTCATCAGCCAGATGCTAAGCCTAGTACCCAGTAGTTATTTCTTCTGATCCTCTTCATCTTCCCACCCTCCACCCTCAAGTAGGCCCCAGCATCTGTTCTTCCCCTTTGTGTCCATGTGTTCTCATCATCTAACTCCCACTTACAAGTAAGAACATGCATAAACTAAGGTTTAGTGCTAAAACTTGGGTTTATGCATGTTCTTACTTGTAAGTGGGAGTTAGATGATGAGATGATTAAGTATCAGGTATTACATTTTTATAAGAAAAAGCATAGCAACATATAAGGAATTCAAATAACAAATCACATTATACCTGAGAGATTAGATCAAATATACATGACTAAAAATTGATAAGACCTCTATAGCTAATTCATATGCATGCAGTATGATATAAAGCTTATCATCTTTATCAGCCATATTAGAGACTATAAAATGTCAGCCATATTAGAGACTATACTGTTTAATATTATTATATTTTAAGTCTTGAGTACCATGAATTAGGAACATATTTATAAACAGTACACAAAAAGCACTAACCATAAAAAAAAATCAACAAATTAGACTTCACTGAAATTAAGAACACTTTCAAAAGACACTATTTAACAAAAAGCAAAGTAAGTCACAAGCTATAAGATGTTTCCAGTAGAAAGGTCTGCCAAAGAACTCATATCTAACAAAATAAGAATTGCAACATATAAATAAGACGAAACATATTCCCCATTTAAAAAATGTGCAAAAACTCTTGAAACAGGCAGTTGGCTCATAAAAGAGGATATCCAGATTGCAAAACAAATGGGAACAACAACAAAATATATGAAAAGGTATTTAAAATATTTATTCTTCAGAAAACTGCAAAATAATCCACATGAGATTATCACTACATAGCTATTGCTATCTGATGGATAGATATATATAGCACCAGAATAACTAACCTGCAAAAGATAGACATTACCAAGTATTGGTGAAGACATGAAGCAATGGGAATTTTTTTTTTTCAGACAGTGTTTTGCTCGTTGCCCAGGAGCAATGGGAATTTTTATGCAAGATGCAGAGTATGGAATAGTATGAAAAGCACTTTGGAAAACTTTTTGGCAACATCTACTACGGCAACATAAATCTACCCTATGGTCCGTTAATACACCCTTAGGTATATATCCAAGAAAAAGGAGGGGATATGTTCACCAAAAGACATGTGTAAGAATTTTCAAAGAAGCTTTATTCATTGTAGCAAAACCTGGAAAAACTCAAATATTCATCAATGGGCAAATGGATAAATAAATCACGGCATACGCATACAATGGAATGAATACAACACAGGAATAAAAAGGCACAAACTACATGCAAAAACAGATGACCTCACAGGTGGGAAGTTGGGGAAACATCTTATAACTAGCTGGAAACATTTTATATCTTGCTCTGGGTGGTGGTTATATAGATATATACATACGTAAAATTCATGAAACTATACAATTCAGATTTTTGCATTATAATGAATGTATATCAATATGAAGTTTAAAAACATCTGAGGGGGATTAAGCTACACTTGAACATGTCTGGTTTTTTGACCCAGCTGAGACATCTGAAAATGTGCTTCAACTTCACAGGAGAAATTATTCCAGATGGGTAGGAAATGGTGGGTTGGGAGGAATGGCATGTTTGGGGTGCCATCAGGAATGGCTGCTAGAATGACAACAGCCTCCTATCAAAATGTCCATTTGCATTGACCTAGAAGCAAAAGG